GAAGGTGCAGCTACATTACTGTTGTTGCGCGGCTTCTTCAACCTTATTAGGGATCCCTCCGTGAAGGTGCCCAAGTAAAGGCGCCTTCCTGCTGGGGCAGCCGGTTCCATGCCTTTACTCAAGGCGGAGCTCATGGCGCCTGTCGTAGGAAGTGCCCTTGCTGTTGGAGATGGAGTGGAGGAGGAGGAGGGTGCACTTATAGTTGCTGCCACTCTTGCCTCTTTCGCTCTTTTTACGCCTTGGCCTTTGTGTTATATCACGAGGTGATCTGCAATGTCCAGCCTCATTCCGAGCGGTAGATTGGCCACTCTATCAAAATTGTTGTTCGAATTATATGCGTTCTTGGTGGAATGATGCCTTTCCTACTGTCTTAGCATCATATAAGTTTGATCTGAAATTCAATTCAATGGAGAAGAGTTCAATTCCCAACCCCGGTAATTTGATATGTTAACTGGGTTAGTCAGTCTGGGTGCAGAGTCGAATAGAACGTCCCACTTCTGACCTAACCTAATCTAGTCAATAAGTGTTTGAATTTCCTCTCCCTCTACCCCTGCCGCGATTTCGAAAAGACCGAAAAAATCGACACTTTCTTCTTCTTCTTATGTTTCCTTTTAGGTACATTGTAGCTACAAAAAGGTTGTGCTTGATATTGTATAGAAAAAAACAATGTATGTTTCTAATTTTTTTGCAGATGTGATCGTTTCAGGTCCTGCAGTCTTCACTAAATTTAGGACACCCGGGAAACCAGTATCAGAAAATGATCACCTACATAACGCATGTATTTTCTTATTTAATCTACAGAGAAGGTGATGAAAATGTGAGTTTCGCTATTGTGACACCAATGATAAAAAACAATGATTCCTCCCCAGTTTTGGCTTCAATTTGGAATGTTTAGCAATATTTCTCTGGTGTCTCACATATTTCACTTTCTATAGAGCAATTTTTATGAGACAGGTACCTACTATTTATTTCACTTGCATACATACATAGCAAATCCTTTCATTCAAATAAACCACGAACAAAAGCAGGGAGAGTCAAACTGTAATGATTAAGCTGAAAACTGGAAGAAAAGAAATATACATGCGCTTTACTTCCTTCGAAGAGGGGGAGTTAATGAAGTCGAATGGTGGCTCTACATCTACATCGGTGTTGATCTCACTGCTATTATCATATTCATGTCTAACCTAGAATTTGCAAAGGATGACAAATACACCCAGTTGTGCATCTGCTTGAGATGGTATTGGGAAAGTTGGGTAAGCGGCGTCTCTACTCTCCCTGATAGGTTCCTAGTTATCGTGCTCTTTACTAGCATCCCCACTCGAGTTAGTAAAGACAATCCCCATCTATTCCATAACCTGATGGAATATATTCACGGAGTGGAGATGTATTGCATCAATGGTGGAAGTTAGTTTAGCCAGATTGAGCTTGGTGGTATTGGACTAGAATTTTCTGTATCGATGGAAGCACAACTATTGTTGTCTACTGGTATACAAACAGTATACCAAGATTTTCTCTCAGTTAGTGAAATTTCTTGGGGAAACTCAAATTTCTGTGTCTGCTCCAGCAAGTTGGATATTTTTTGAAAAGTTTGCATAATTCACTCTTTCCAAACCCAAAAGTGGTGTCGCAATCCAATATTGGATATGACTGAAGTCCTAAAGTTAGCAATTTGACAAATTTTCTGAAAATGCGATTTTTTCATTTTTTTAATGTGCAATCTCTGAAACTATCAGTCCTTAGAGAAAAGTTGAGAAGCATAAAATTTAGGAAATGTATAGGAAAGAAAGTTTTTGGCTTTCTACTACTTCATCTTGATACAAAAAAATGTGGAAATCTTCCAAAGAAAGGAAGTAATCAATTTGAAAATAAGTAACTCTATACATGGATGTGTAATTCATGGAAAGAAGCAACTTTTAGACACAAAGCCAGTCAGGAAAGCCCTCCTGAAACAGCTACTTTCATATAAACACCGAATTACACGAAAGAAAAAAAATTCTTTTGAAACAAATACTTTTATATGAACACTCAGTTTGTATTCCAAACATTTCGTGGAATAAAATTAGATATCATTCACAGGAATTCTACTTTAAATGAATGGTAACAAATTGCACTTACATGTAACACTGTCATCCTCATAAAAACATTTGTTTCGAAAGAATTTTTTTTCTTTCGTGTAATTCAATGTTTATATGAAAGTAGCTGTTTCAGGAGGGGTTTCTTACAGTTTGTATCTGAAAGTTGCTTCTTTGCATAATCTACACATCTATGTATAGAGTTACTAATTTTCCAATTGACTACTTCCTTTCCTTGGAAGATTTCCACATTTTTTGTATCAAGATAGAGTAGTAGAAAGCCAAAAACTTTCTTTCCCAAAAATTAATCACTCCTAAAAATATAACCCCTTCAATTCAAATAGGAAATTTAATTCTTCACAGCAGTGAGTGGAACTCAAAATGTACCAAGAAGAAGATATAAGCGAAAGCTTGACTACACCGAATAGAATATATGATCGAAAGTTCGAAAACATGCTGATTTTTCTTTCAGTTTTTTCAAATGGCGGTGGGCGCGGAGAAGGGGCAATTGTGCGTTCTGTTTTTTTTTTTAATTAATGAGTTCTTTTATTTTTCTACATTTTATTGAACTAGATGCATGTGTAATAAAAAGAATCCTTCAAATCAAAAATTTTGCTCAAAAACACCAATATTGATGGTAAAGGTAAGTCTTTGAGGAAGCTGGATAGCCATCAAGAGCGACGATTTGTGAAGCCATATAATATCAAAGTTCAACTAGAAAACATCCATGCCGCACACGACCAATGGCTTTGAAACTCTCGATTACATTGTAACAAACGTGGATTACATATGTTTAGAAGGTCGGCTGTCGATCTTTGATTATTTAAACCATTTTGATAGTCACCTAAGATGTTGAAGCACTTCGAATATCAATATTGTATTAATTACCAGCTTTCATCATCATTTTTGGTATCCCAATTGAGTAACTATTCATAGTTATCTAAAAGATGTTTTTCACATTTTTGGGTGTAGACCAAGCTTATTGACTTTCAGCAAGAAAACAAAACCCTTCCATAGAAATAGGTTAAAGAACCTATAATTCACCGGTAGAAATTTTTTGGTGCATTGTTAATACTGGGGTCTTTGGATTGATCCGTTTCCACAAGCAAAAATTAGGAAGCTGGAAAGACGCTAACTTTCATCTCCACTCACTACACTTTCAAGGTACAATTCTGAAAATTGGGCCTACTTTTTTGATTTCAGAACACGACAAAAGTATCGAATGTTGCGTATTTGCATTTTTCAAAATATGCTCTGATCTAAAAAAAATTAACACTAGTTTTATATTTTCAAATTTTTGTTCTTCTTCAGGAATTGTTCTAAAGTATTGTCTCTCATCAGCAGGAATAGGCTGATAGGGTTAGGGATTTTTTTATAGCGCTTTTATTAGCTTCACCTGTATGTATGTTTGTTTGTTTGTAACTCTCAATTTCGGGATTTGTATTCGACAGAATTATCGACATTATTGCTTGATCTATTGGCGGGCAGATGGCGCTGTAGGTAACCTCATTAATATAATTCGAACTCACTCGAAATGTATTTCTTCATTTGAAAAAGAGGTTTTTTTTATTAACACCGTATTTGCCTTATTTGTAACTCTCCTTTGCGCGCCTGCTGCCTTCCTTGGGCTTGGTAGCTGATTTTTAGGCTCCCTCTCCGGAATCGGAAGATATCAATGGTCATTTTTCTAAACAATATACGGCTGATTGATCCCAAAGTTCAAATAAAATAAATAGAGTTTGAAAAAACTAGAAAACACGCTTTCAAAGAACATCGAACTAAAAAGTTGAAAATACTTTTTTATAAGCTTAAAACCATAACGAACGAAAAATACTAGTATTATTGTAAAAAAGCGTGGGCGCCTTGTGCCATATTTTTTTAATATCAAGCGCCCATCACTTTTTTCACAATGATACTAGTATTTTTCGTTTGTTATTGTTTCAAGCTTATAAAAAAAATATTTTTAACTTTTTAGTTCGATGTGCCTTAAAAGCATGTTTTTTAGTTTTTTTTTACTATATTTATTATGATATATGTTGTTGCTTGTGTGTATGTTTTTGCTTGTGAATATAAATATATAAACTCTCATTTCTTGACAAAAAGGAAATTAGTTATGAGGCAGACATCAGTGGACATAGCGAATAAATAAATCAAGAATAATTAGACAATGAAATCGTCTTAATGCTGAAAGTAATTATTTCGAAATAACCGACATAACTAGAAATTCACCAAGTCTGTGGAACAGACTGATTTTTCTTCTAGATTTTTTCTGTCAGTACAGTTTGTAATTGAAATAATTGAAATTTTTGTAGAAAAATTATCTGTGTTAATACTAGATATCAGCAGCTCAAATGAAACACAGTTTTCACTAGAAGATTCTGAATAAATTATAAGCATCACATGGTTTCGTATTCATTTTTACCGCATGGTCATTAAATTAATCAACATTTCGTGAACATTCAAAAAAGTTGAAATTGTTTACATTTCAATTGTCAGTTCCTTGCCAAAATACTCTGGAACATGTTTTCACAAGCGAGAATACACGTCCAGATATGGACCAGTAGGACTAGACAGGTGAATCTCTAATTGGAGATCTAAAAATAGCACTGGCGAATTTGAGGTCGGTAACCTAGAGTGTCCTGAAAACGCTAGTTTCTGTCATCTGGCGAAAGCGGCAGCTTTCGCAGCAAGTATTCGATTTATACACTCTCCATCAATCATTTTCTCAATACATAACCAGGAATATATTTCAGACAAGCACTGGCGACGGCAAAAACCGCAAATGCCACAGCGATAATAATATTGATCCGTCACCGAGAAAAACAAAACCTAATCTAATCGTAGTAGCCAGGATTGATGCAATTGTTCGCTGAATGAAGGAGAGCAGCCTGCTCTGATTGCAGATGAAAATAAATCACCGGCCCTTACCTGTCACACTTAGAAGTGACATCATGTGGTGATGCGATCCCCGGAGAATTGTAGGATTATCCTGGTGTAATCGTTCGCGCACTTTCACTCAAACTACGATTCGGACAGGAGGCCATTTTTCATCGCGGATTTTGGTGACTGTTCGTGATACTCATGGAAGGTTTCACACGGCTTCATGGTCGGACTCTGACACTCGCCTAGGAGTTACTACTAGCTCGGGACCGGTGCGGACGCCATCATAACTCCGGTGATAACGTTATCCTGGAACGTGCGCACAATTCCGTTCCCATTTTCAGGGGCGGCGGGACCGCCGAAGGCTGAAAACGGCGGACGAACGGGATCCCGCTAGGCCGTGCTACCCACAATGGACTTTTGACATTTTACGAGAGAGGAACAAGTTGGCGTGGGTTGTGAGAATACAGAGGCGAAGTATTTGAAATATTTCTTGTGAATGACATTCAATTCAATTTATTATTTTCCAATTTACATTACACAGGAGTGATCAGAAAGTAAGTATTTCAAGTCAGATAATAAAGTTGTAGAGATAGTAAACATCGAAAACTTAGAATACATTTAAATATTCTACAACACCAGAGGCAAACTTATTGTTATCAAATCACGAAGACGTTTTCCAAAAACGTTCAAACTCTATATTTTTCTCGTATCGATTGGCAATTTTTCGAATATTCTGGAAGCTATAGGTTAAGTGGAAAAACAATTTAGTAGTTATTTGTATAGCTACGAAAATTGAACTTCGCATTTTACTATAACTTTATTTATGTAGTTAAAACTTAATATTGTTATTTTTTGTTTATCATTCTTATTATTATTTTTTTAACCGTAGTTTGCGCTGGTCAGTCCCCATCCCCCGAAGCCCCGATACATTCGGGAGGGCGCGCCAGCATTATCAACCAACGGCCACTTCCCACACCGTGGGGTAAGTGATCATTGGGCACGAGAATCATGTGCCCTGAGTAAGCGCAGTGAGCCAAGAATTACAGCCTTCTGCATCTGTGTGGCTAAGATTTCTGCCTTAGTGCGGCAAGTCGGTATTATTTTAAGATTCGAGAGTAGAGAGGACGTCATTCCACCAAGGACTCCAATAATCAGAACAACCATCGTGACAGAGTGATCTGGATAGAGTCTGCGGAGTTCGAAGAGAAAATCTCGATATTTAATTCGTTTTTTCTCCTCTTTTCTGACGATATTCGTCTCGCTAGGAGCTGAAAACTCCACGACAAATATCGTTTTGCCCTGGTAGTCGGGAAGGACTACATCAGGCTTATTAGCTTGTATTAGCCTGGCGGTGGGGAACGAATAGTTTCAATAAATTCGGCACTTCTCGTTCCCCACAATGGATTCAATATCCCCCGGAGCGTAAGTCAATACCGTAAGAGTGCCGTAGATGGTAATATAGTACTCTTAGGTCTGCGTTATGTCGATGGATATAGGCCGAGACCGCATATGCTGGACATGCTGATAGCAAGTGCATTAGGGTCTCGGGCGCCTCGCGGCAGGCCCTGCACCTTGTGTCAGGAACCTCTATACCCATCACGCGACTGCGGTAGACTAAGGTGTTAAAGACACCATCCTGGCAAGCCATGATGAACCCCTCAGTTTCCGACTTCAGCCCACTCGACCTGAGAAAAGCGAAGGTCAGGCGCTTTGATAAGCCAAGGTCTCCAATGTTATTGAAGAAGACCCCATGCATTGGCTTATCCTTGTGTTTCCGCAGGAGTAAGGTGATCTCTGTGGCTTCTATCTGAGCTTTTTGCTGAACGGGTTCCAACTTGGTGACAGAGTTGTGATCACTTTCAATGTCGAAAACTATACCGAGTTCATCAGACTCCTATAGAGAAGCATCATTTTTCGGGTCTTTACGTCGAGTTGATTTCATCGGTAGGCATATCATCGTTATGGGCCACACCACCTTACTTCTGACCCCTCCGAGCGGGTGGGGCCCTTCCTTGATTATTGGGAACCAAGTGTTGGGTCCACCGGGTGGTTAACCCTGTGGACCCACGGCCGGCACCGGTGGGAGAATCGAGTTCTTCCCGGGTGCGCCTGGGCTGCCGGTCCGGTTTTGCACCAGTTGCTCGGGTAAGTGGTGTCGCAACTCACCAAAGGCCAAGGGTGTTAGTGACCATCCCTGCTTATTATTATTATTATAAATATACTAATTTGAGTCTATCAAAAGGTGCTGGTACGAGATCTGCTCAAAAAATAAAGTGAATGTTCGATGTTCGCGGTGTACGTGCATTCGATGAGCGATGTTTCTATTTTTTTATGTTGGTACACACGTATCGAACACATGTTCACAGTTTCAGCTGTTTAGCATGTTCAGTTTGCTCGAAAAAACTGAATCAAAAAATTTACGTCAAATTTTGTGTGAAAAATGGAATTGAGTGCTCAACTTGAAATGTTCACAGTGGCATACGGTGATTATACTCTGACTCAGAAAAATGTTTACTTACAAATGGTAGGTACAGGCTTTTCACAGAAGGTTGGGCGACACTCGCCCTGGACGCCCGAGCACATCAAGAATCGATGAGAATGTTGAGAAAGTGAAAAATTGTTATGGAGAATTAGAGAAGTTGCTGAGGATGTCAGCATATCGGTTGGCTCATGACATGCAATTTTTTCGTTAATTTTTGGCATGAAGCGTGTGGCAGCAAAGTTCGTTCCAAAATTGCTGGATTCTAACCAAAAAACCGTCACATGGGCATCGCTTAGGAATGAACTCATTCAGGCTAATTTAGTTTTTTTATTGAAAATTATCTAAGCAAAATTATCTGAGCAAGAGCAATTGAAAATGTGAGATCGCCCGCGGTACATCGTGACGTCACACCAGGCAAACGAGCTTCGAGCGGTGGCAACCAGGCCTGTAATTGGAGATTATGAATCGCTGCTATCGTCAATTCAATTTAATTTTCTTCAAAGTAATGTTTATATCAATCCTGGGTAACTGGCATTTTTGAGACAAAAGTTTTATAATAAATAAAGAGTACCTTGTTGTGGAATTGGCCGCGGTGGTAGTGCGTCCGACTCACGATCGGAAGGTCGTGTGTTCGATTCCCGCCTCGACCAGATATTTTTCTCGAGAGAATTTATCTGGTTGAAGCTGGAATGATTCTGCAACCGTGTTAGGAATCACATGTTAAAAGGTAAGACCTCGTTAGTCCTTAGCTCGCACAAGTTTCTCAACTTCTGAGAGTTGTCGTTCGTATGGGGGCGGCAGCTGATTAACGGAAAAACAGATTTTAAAACAGATTTTTTTTAAAACAGATTCCAAGACATGATTTTGGATTTTTCTCTATGACGTAAATAGATTTTCGCTCAATATTATTTTTCGAATTTCAGTTTTCAACTAATATTCCAGACAAAGTAGAATCTGATGATGTACCAACAGAAGTCATGTATGATGTACTTAAACTCTTACTGTCCTCGTGGGAACTTGGTAGTGATTTTTTCCAATACTGTCTGTATTTTCTATTTCTTTACAACGATTTCTTTTTTGGTGGTATATATTAATATTTACGGTCTGTTTAGCTTTTGATCTTAGAAAAACCTGTTTATTAACTTGAATTCCAACATCAAAGGTATTTTCCTGTGTACGTGCTCCATCATAAATGATTTGATTTTTAGCGATATCTTCGTTACAAGTATTCAAAAAAAAATGTTTTTCCTTTTTTTGAACAAACGATGGAGCTTTAGATGTATGGACCTTCGCGTCGGTCTATCAATCTAGCAATCAAATATATGCTGAATTACGCCTGGTTTCAATATAATTTTTTCTACTTTCATAGTTTTGATATACATGTAATTTTCCAAGTCTGTTTCAACCTAAAACTCAAAGTAGTGCTCAGAGTGAACTATAATTTTTTTATCAATCATTATCATTCATACTTAAAATGATCTTCGCAACAAAAATGCGTCCCCTTGGCAGATACAAAGTCGGCCCTCCGCATGGCGCGCTGTCATAACTTTCGTAACAGTGAAATAAAAATTTTGTCTGGTGCAGTTTATAAAGAATTCTTGCATTTAGGAACGATGCAATACTTGTAACGTAATTTTTTATCATTATTCATATTCACGCAGTTGACACACTGCAGTAAACAACACACAACTTGCTTTCTACAGCTTTAGCACACGTATTTTGCTTATCCGCCAGCACTCCCTTGTCGCCGAGTCGACTGATGTGAGGTCAAGCTTGACCACACCCCGTTTCGGTGAACGTCACATTCAACAATCAATTTGAGGGGGAAGATAAAGAGTGAAAATTCAGATTTATTGCAGTTGTACTATTTGAAACATAAACTTTCAAATTATGAAATAAAAAAAATTGTTAAATGAGCCCTTTGTTTAATGTCGTCAACGGCGATCCAGATTTGCTCAATAGGGTCATAACTGGGAAAGAATCATGAGTATATGGTTATGACATCGAAACCAAAGTCCAATCGTCCCAAGGGGAGAACTCGGGAGAGCCAATACCAAAAAACGCACGTCCAGTTTGATCAAATGTCGGGGTTTTTCTCACTGTTTTTTTCATCCACCATGGCGTAGTGCATCATTTTGGAGAGTACCAAACTACGCAACTTTGCCCTACTTTAATCGACCTTGTATCTCTTACGGTTTCCGAGATCCCAATAGTCATCCTCGTATTTGGGACACCCTGTATCCATACCCTCATTTGATTTGATCACAGACATAAGAATCTAGTTAGGATCGAAAGGTGTATATTGTTTCAAGATAGATAAGTTTCACTCAGATACAAACTAATCTCTCCCAAAAAATGAGAGATTAAAAAATTGTCACTATTCTAGAAAACATTTATCACAGAATCCTATAAGGATCTAGAAAATTCTTCAATCTACCGACGCTATTTTTCTCATTATCCTCAAACCTGTAATGATTTTTTTCAACTACGATCCCTTCCTAAACTTACTTTTCAATTATATTGGCAATTTTCACAACTATTACTTTTTAATTTCTAACTTATAAGTGTCATTTTATAGCAAACTTTTGTCATAAAAACCTGAAGGTGGCAGTAAATTCATTAAATGTTACCGAAACATTGTCATCACGAGATGAGAATTCATCTCACCTTGAGACCCGTGTGTAATCGAGTTACTGAAACTGCAATTTTTGCAGAGACCAATTAAATAGAAAAGTTTGAATTATTATCTCGAAGTGAGAAAACACA